TGGTTTTGAACTTCTACTCATGGAAGGAGCGCTGGAGACACTAGTAATCTTTCTGGCTATTACTGGAAGATGAGCTGTTCGTTTATTTGAAGCAGACAGAGACCATTGATCCTGAGAAGTGCTGTTCTTTGGTGTGACATTAAACACTTCTGTTGAACCTTTTGATGTTCTTGGTCTTTCTGAACTGTTTGGTTTTATAATCAAGTGTTGCAACCTTTGCTTTCCAGCGAGCTTATTTATATCACCTTTTCCATGCAGCTGTTCTCCTGGTATCCTATTAATATATTTTGAGGTAAGTAATAATTCTGATTTAAGATCTTCATTTTTAAATTTTGTCTTAGGAGTATTTGTCCTATATTTTAAACACATGCAGCTATCATTTTGATGGAGACCATCAACAAAGCCAGTGGAATCCTTGCTGTTGAAGTTACACAACTTCATACTTGACTGACCCTCAGCTAACTTCAAGCTTGGTTCAACATCATGGGTATCATTGTTACTAATATTTGGTGGATGCGCAGTCTTGTAATTTCTTTGTGCAGCAGAGTCACTATTTTCTATTTGAGGCACAGTATTTACATTAATTTTCTTATTCTCTACAGAGCCAGTCCTCATACGCCTCCGCAGAGTGAGTTTTTTCTCTGTTTGTATATTTTCCATGCCTCCTGATGTTTTCGTATGCAATTGTTCACTACTGGACCCTGATCTTTTGCTTAGTCCAGTTCTCCTCTGGAGTGTTAACCTGCCTTCAGGTTTAAATGTAGTTGACGTGTCATTCTCTTTTTTACAGGCTGAAATTATGTAGGTCCTGTTTACTTCCTCAGTCTTATTCTGAGAACATGAAAGAAGAACACCCTTTTCTTCACCTGATACTTGTGATTTCAGTTGCTGCCCAGAGGTTTTGCTGCCAGTATTCTCTGAAGAAGTCTTCTGCAAAGCGGTAGTATGTTGTGCCTCAGAGGCACTTCTTGAGGGAATAGTGTAAATAGGCATTTTGTATTCCAGCAAGTTGATACTAGGTTTTTAATAAGTACTACATCTTTATTAAAAGATCGTTTCTAGTTTTTTTCTTCTTATGGAATCTGGGGAGATAAAGCAAAAAAATTTTATGATGCTCACATGCAGTGCAAGTTCTGTTTTGGGGCACAGGGGGCTCTTTGCATATATTGCAGTAAATATTTGTCCCCAAGCACCCAAACTTTACTAACAATTACTACCCCGTTTCACCTTCAACACTCAAATAAAAGTACTGTTCTTCTATATTTGAATTACTGCTTTCTTCCAAGTGGTCTACTATGAACCCCAAAGAAAAGGAATTCAAGATAATTCCTCCAATCACTCGACTGTTCAGCTCTTAGTATTTCACAACTAACAGACTCCAATAGAAAAACAAAATTATTGTTTAATTGGAAGTCTGTGAACACAAAGCAGATTTTTTCAAGATTTTGATAAAGAATATAAAGTCATTCTCAGAATAAGACAGTTAATAAAGACCACTATTACAATATATTTGGATGTTATTTTACTCCACTATAGCACATACACACCTAGCAAAACAAAGATACCTAGCCTAGGGACAGAAAGAAAACTGTAAAATGTATTTTACATCCTTTCTACACATAAATATCTAGAAAGCTGCATACATCCCAGCTGTATAGAAAAGTGTTATTTCACTGTTGCATATGGATGATATTTATCCCATTGCTACAGGTTTGACATCACTACCCACTAGACTTGCCAGTTGCAATTCATTTACTATTAAGAAACAAGAAATCCCCTGTCTTAGATACTTCAGCAATTACATAGATCGTTAACAAAAGCAGCAGATTGTCAGGGGGGAAAAAGAAAAGCAAGATGAGAGCTGCAGAAGCAACCATTTAGTCATTGGTCCAATAGCAGTTTATTTTCATGCTACACTTTCAAGTTACAACTTTTGGAGTAGTCTCAGAGTTTATGCAATTACATCTGCTTCTACACACAGAGTGACTGCACAAAGCTTTCATAGCTCAAAAGTTACAAGGAAAGTTTCAAGACTTTGCTCAATCCAGTTTGAAACAGGAAACTACTCAGGGCACACAACTTGTAAAAATAAACACTTTGTGGTTTCATCTAGCAGTCAACAAACAAACAATTCATGGATCAGCATCATGTTTCTTTAAGTGTTTTCTGAAAAGTCTGTCTTTTCCATTCGGCTTTCAAGTAAGTAGGGTAAGAACAGAAGTTCTCCCCTCCGGTTGCCACAGCTGTGCCTTAACATACGCAAAAGCTTTCCTGGAGAAAACATAAACCTTTCCACTGAAAGTGCTTCCATTCTAAAATAAGGAAAAGGGTTCAAGACTTGTTAAAAGCACGCTTGTTCCTCATGTTTAACATATAACAAATACAAAATAGATATGAAACCCAAGTGCTGAAAGATGGGTGAAAACGCAGGGAAAACTGACGTTTTACGATCCTTCAGTAAACCTACCCTCTCCAGACGAGCCCCCGCAGGACTCAAGACAGCCACAGATAAAACACAGGCAGCGTGTTACCCCCACCGCGCTGAGGCGCCCCGGAACCCATCGGGTGGCCGAGCCCGCCCGAGGCCCGAGGAGAAGTGACAGCGGCGGCCGCTCTCGCGACTGAGCCCGGGAGGGCTGCGGGAACACGGCGCCCAGAGCCCGCGCCCCGCGCTTCCCGCCCGGTTCCGCGGCTCCTGGAGAGAAGGCCCAGCCGCGCCGCGGCCCGCGGCCGG